ACTGAACTGGACTGGACTAACTGTTAGTCCAATACTTTGTTTTTTCCGTGCTGAAATTAACATTAATAAGACTAAAGGGGATTCGCATGGACAAACCTCTTCGCTAAAAGGTCTTAGCGAGACCCCCATTAACCATGGGACTGCTAAGACCTCTCTCTGCTATTGCTTGCGTTGCTAGCTTTCTATCCTCACTCCGAAATCAAACTACCAAACCACCACACTCTCTCCCCCTCTCCTCGTCGTGCTAGGCTATCGGAACCCAGTCACCAACGTCCCGCAAACCCCGTCACCAAAATTCTGCCTTCACGCCGACGAACCCACAACCCAACTCCCTACTTGCTTCCCAATGAACCACAACCCAGATTTCCCCTATTTGCTTCACAAAGGAACAGTTGATTCGATATGCTGAATTGGGTTCTCCATTTTCGTCAATTGAACTCGAATCAGACCCAGAAAATAAAGATAACGATCTTGACCTCAAGGACTTAGAATTTGAAAACAATCTCCACAATTTCATATCCATCCACTATCCCGTAGCTCCTGCGCCAAGCCGTTTCAGGTGAAACAAAATAAATACCAAGTTTCATAATTTGAAGAAAAAGAAGAAGGCCAGAGTAATTTGAAGTCAATCGGGAGAAAAATGGATAGGAGTCAGTGAATGGAGGTGAAATGGGACAGAAAAGAGAAAGGGGAAAAAGACAGTGGTACAGAAAAGGGCAGAGAAAGGGGAGAGGGGAGGGATGCAGTGGCCGGAGGAAAAAAATGAGAAGGAAGATGACTAAGAGTTTGATCAGAATAAAAAGATGGAAGATGATACTAGAAAGGAAAAAGATAATTTAATAATAAAATATTAGTATATATAGATTAAATGAATAATAAAATATTTTAGATATAGATTAACTAATATAATATATGAGTTTTGCTTTTTAGTCCGACATAGCACCAAACGCTTCACTAAATTAATCGAACTTAGTCTAATCTAACCCAATCTAGCTTGATCCTTGAAGTGAAGGTAATCCAGTCCGAGATAGTCTAGTGCAACAAACGCACCCTTAATGTACTAATACTTTTGCCTACTAGCTATCTCACTTACGATATACAGATCAGTAAACTATAGTATATTCAATGAACACTTTCAAATGACGTGGTCAGTGCATCCTATCACAAGTTTATTTCGTAGTTGGTATACGTTTATAAACCTCCAAAGCTGGTTATCTACGAAGAAATTATGAGCTTGTGTTGCTCCCATAAAAGCATGATCTACCAGAAGATTTATAAAAAATAAAAAATAAAAAAAAATTTGAGGGAGTGACTCGACACCAAAGAGAAAAGACGGAATTCAGTATCAGGACTTGTTTGGAAGTATTTTTATAATGGTTGAAACCGTTTTTTGTGAAAATATTTTTTGAACCAATTTTTTGTAAAAAATGCAAGTATGGAAAATCACTTAAATGTCTTCCTGCAAGAATTCCTGCAAGAAAAGTGATTTTGGAATCCAAAAACATTTTATCTAAAAACTTTTTCAATTATTTTAAAATCGCTTCTAAATGAGCTCTTAGACAATTAAAATTAACTACGAGAACTTTTTGGATTGATTTTTAAATATTCAACAAAAGCAAAATGACCAAGTTAAGTTAATAAATAAACTTGGTGTGAAACATATTCACATATTAATCACTTGCATAGCTATAGGTTGACTTTAAACGTCAAAGATTAAATCAACAAAATGATACAAAATAGTAAACGGCTGTGCGTGTGTTCAAAGTTCAAACCATTACTGAAATTGCAGGACAATTTTTTTTAATTTGTATCCACCTGTTCAACGTGCTTGAAAATGTTCATACTGAGTAGTTTACCACTAATTTATGTCGAGGGTTCAAGACCAAATCGATCACGTTGCATGCAGAACTCTCCGATCAAAAGATTCTTAGCATGCTCGATCTGATAATTACATTGTTCGCATATGGAATTCAACATGAGGTTTCTGGCGATGCAAAAACATTAATATTTGTTTAGCAATTTTTAAAAATAAATTGTAACATCCAACTTAAAAATAATAATTGGGGAATAAATGCTATTTATATAAAACCTTATATGCATACAATCAGACGCACACGCATCATACGACACAAAACCTTCATATTTCAACAATTTTCCCTCATGCTCGGCAGAATATAAATAAATTATCCGCTTGGTACTGTATTCAACTTAAGACAACCTAAAATTAAATATTAATCATGGTATTAACAAAACTGAAGGTCACTTTACTTCCTTTCAAGTTTCAACCACCGATGACAAATTGTTAGGCCATCTCCAACCGATCCAGCCAGAGGGTCAGAGAGTCAGAGAAATATCACGAAAACCGTCTCCAACTGAAGGCTAGGCCAAATGGCTCGTGGACCCCACCGGGCCACAGTTGCACAATCGAGTCAACCGGCTGGCCTGAACCAACCAACCCTGCGCCGGTCCATAATTCAAGCCCAACGGCTACCTACTAGCTGACGTCATTAAATAACATTAAGTAACATTAAACAATGTTAAACAACATTAAATAACATTAAACTTAAACAACATTAAAAAAACATTTAACAACATAAAACTTAAATGTTTACTTCATGCTTCTTTTGGCCCAAATATGTGCAACAATATCCTGTTGTAGGTATTTATTTGTGGCACGCAAACATATCATCCTATTGTGCCTCATGTACTCGTTTAACAAGATATTACCAGTTCTTGGATGAAAGGAAAATTAGGTCCATCATATATTTTGCACGATCCTTCCTTGACCTATCTGGATCATCTTGGTCGTCATCAGATTCTCCATCAATGTAGCCATCGCACTCATCCTCCATAATTATGTTGTGTAATATGATGCACGACATCATGATGGAGTTCAATTAATCTCGACTTCACCCTCTTGCCAGTTCCTTGATGATCTTTCACTATGCTTGTAGAATACCAAAAACTCTCTGAACATCTTTCTGGTATGCCTCTTGGTGTAAGGTAAACCACCTTTTGGTGTCATCCACATGGTTTGGAATTGCTTGGACAAGTGTCTCCCATTTTGGGTAGATGTCATCTGCCAAGTAATACCCTATATTGTATTGATGGCCGTTGATGTAGTAGTCAAGTTGAGATTACATATCAACAAGAAATCTGGAGAGTTACTCACATATTGATACGTGACACTCGAAATCCGAGATGTAAAATTATTGAGATTCCTTATCGACAAGAAATCTGCAAAATTACTCACATATCGACACATGTCACTTGAAATCCGAGACGTAAAATTATTGAGATTCCATATCGACAAGAAATCTGCAAAGTTGGACATATATCGATACGTGGCACACGAAATCCAAGACGTAAAATTATTGAGATTTCATCTCGAAAAATTATCGAGGTAGTTTAATTTAAGTAACCATATTAATTCAATTAAAATAATAAATTATATTTGGATTACGATCCTTTGACTCTCTCGGTTAAAGATGATTTTTTGTCACAGGGCTATGTTTGGCCATAGCCTCTCTATTGGAGATGGTGTTCATTACACTATTAAATTCTTAAAAGGCTACAGAGCTAAAATGAGTCATCTGACTCTTCTCCGATTGGAGATGACCTTAATACCAGTACCAGCTTGACACGAGAGAAGCACAATAGTGAAAGGCAAGAAGCAGTAACATTCCTAAAACCCTAGCCCTAGTGAAAGGCAACGACAATGACTTTCCTAAACGATTAAGGCAAAAATATCCCTGCTGAACTGCACTCCACTAGTCCACTGCACTGTATTGCTTCAGTCTTCAGTAAAAGCCCTTTGAAACCGTGTAAGGTGGTTTGTCATCGTCACCCCACATTTTTATAATTGTATTGAAAACCAGCTGCGACTGAACTCTAAAACGCGTCACGTACACGTTCGTAGATAAGCCAAAGCCTCCCTTCTTTCTCCTTCGCACGCCCACTTTCTTTGTTCTAATCTTGCAATCAAGCAATTTTTAAAATTCTCAAAATCCGTAAGTTGAAAAATCTTCCTACTCTCGTTTTGGCGCGTTGACAATCACCGAATTCAATGTCAAGCTTTGATTGATACTGTACGAGCGTCCTCACTTGATCACCAAGTAGACACTGATCTGAACCGCCCATGTTGTTTACTTAATGGTCATTTTCTTTTCCAGGGTATCAATCAAGTTATGCAAACAGTTGGTGAAAGCATACAATTTGGGGATCTTCAAAGACAAGGAAATGAGCTTGACCAAAAAAAAAAAAAAAAAAAAAAAAAAAAAGACAAGGAAATGAGTGAACATCGTATAGAAAACTCTCTCATCCTCGTAGCCTAGTCCTGCTTGCAGAGAAATAGACAAACAAATAAACGGTATAATAGAACAAGTCTAGAGCCATAACTCAAGCATGGTTTTATACAACCATGATTAGGCACAAAAAGGTTCAGTTGGCCAAGAATTAGCATGCAAAACTAGACGATGTGTAAATACAACTCGATCAAATTATTTAAAATTACATATGTTAAACAAACGAAAAATAACAAGTTAATCGCAGAAGAATTTATCATTTTATTTTCGGAATGAATGAAATATTGCATGGTAGTTTTTCAGATTAATAGAAACAAGAAATTAGGTTTAGTAAATTAAAATTAAGGGCATTTCTAGTAAAGTTTTTGTTGGGTTTTTTTTTTTTTTTTTTTTTGTTATTGGTTGTTTGGTTATTTGTTTTTTACCTTGTTTTTTCTCCTTTACTTCTTCAATTAACCAAACAAATTCAAAAAACAGAAAACAGAAGAAACAAATAGATTTACCAAAAAGGACAAAGAAGCTCAGCGACTTAAAATAAATATAGCAACATAGGATTCCATCTCTAAATTTCACATACCAAAAAGAGGTACCGTCTTTGTCAACTGCCACCACCACATGCGCGTCCGTTGTCCTTTGAAGACAAACAAGCAGTGGCCACTCCTTTATATCCAGAAGCCCTTTATATAATTGAAAATCTCCAACAAACAAAAGCAGAAGCAGAACGCGGAAGCAATTTATTATCCTCAGATATTCATCACTCGCTCGGATTCTCCAATTTCCATAACAAAAGCGCTTTTGAACTGAAACTCTCAAACCCCCTCCTTCTTCTTCTTCTCCTCCTCTCTGCTCACACAATTAAAGCCAATCAATTTTTAGAATTTTCAGTTTCCAAATTTAACCTTCTAAAATTGGTGGGTTCTATTTCTTTTGAAGAAATATTCCAATTTTCTCTTATTTTTTCCTTTCAATCTACGCGTAGCGAAAGTTGGAGAAGTAATCGATGGGTCTCTTTCTCTCAAAAAATATTTTGGTGAATTTGATTTGCAATTCTTCTATTTCTCCCGTTTTCTCCAAGAAAAATGGCGGAGATTTCATCCCCATGCAAATTGAGAACATGGTTTCTTTGGTTTCCCGAACAGGAAGACAATTCCAGCGCTATGAAGAAGGTTGCCGCCAAGTTGTAGGGTATGTTTCATATCTCTGTTCTGGTTTTTTATCAAATTTACATTTTTAGTTTTGGACCTTTTTCAAAATTCTTGTATCTTCGACCCCTGAACTTATGAAAATCTCAGTTGGGTTTTTGTTAAATGAATGAAAGTTGTGGTCTTTGTGATTAAATGCATGAATTTAAGTAATTCTCAAGTGGGTTTCTGGTAAAGTTGTGGTCTTTATGATTAGATGCATGAATTCTTGTTGTCAATTGTCATGGGTTGATATGGTTGACCTTTTTGTTGGGATTTTGTATGTTTGTAATCTAATTTTTCGTGGGTTAATTTTGGAATCCTGCAGATGCATACCATACAGATATCGGGAAAAACAAACTTCATCTGATGAGGAACTGGAAGTTCTTGTGATTAGTTCACAGAAGGGGAAAGGAATGTTGTTCCCAAAGGTACTAAATTTTGTCCAATTTTACAATACAAATCTAGAAAGCATCTGTTTTTGTTTGTTGGTTTCGTTTTTTGATTGTCGTTAACGTTTGTGCATTCGCAATGTGATTGATTACAGGGAGGTTGGGAAATGGATGAGTCAATTGAAGAGGCGGCGAAAAGAGAGACGCTCGAGGAAGCTGGTGTGACTGGCCATCTTGAAGTGAGTATCTGCAAATTACCAATAGAGCAATCATGTTCTGTAGCAGTTTAGTTTAATTTTATTGAATTGAATCGAATCCGTTTACTCATTGATTGTTTGGATTATGTTCTTGCAGACTAGATTGGGATCGTGGCGTTACAAGAGCAAAACCCAAGGCACGGTTCATGAGGGGTACATGTTCCCTTTGCTTGTTCAGCAGCAGTTGGAATTTTGGCCCGAGAAAAGTTCCCGAAAACGTGAATGGGTAAGTGGAATTGCAATATACTTTGCTTAATTGTTTCTTCTTCTAAATTGTGTTACATTGGCTGAACTCTATGAAGATTTCTCACTTATAGTAATATATGTTTTTCATATTTTTGTAGGTGACGGTCTCTGAAGCTAGAGAAGCATGTCAAAATTGGTGGATGAAGGAAGCTTTGGAGAAATTAGTTTGTCAAAAAATGCAGCCCCAACCGAAGGGAGAGGAAGGAGAAGCAACTTGTACATAGACAGGCAGTCTTAGGCTGGTTGTTTTTTCTTTTCGAGTTTTGGCGGAGCACAGCGGTGTACGTAGGGAGGAAGCAGTTTTCCCAAAAAAAGGGCTCAGATTAGGAAACAGGATGTCAGATAGAATTGCCTTCGCTGAATCGCAATCGCTGGCATTCCCACATGTTGTGTTCCTCCCATCGTTTCTTCTCGAGTTAAGTCGTCTCCGAAATGGGGACTGGTTGCGAAACTGTACAATGTAGTTGAAGAAGATCATGTAGAAATAGAACATCATGTAAATTTACAAATTCCATTCTTTCAATTCAATTCATTTTAATTCTTTAATGTGAACTTGATAGTTCTTTGTTCATTTTCTTTCATGAATTTATGTGACCGACTCCTTGTCGATTCTTCACCCCTTGTCGATTATTCAACCCTTTACGTAAGGAAATGATTTTCGCAAACGTTAATCCGAATGAATCCAAGTCAACAGCCGCTTCATCAAATTGAGTAATGTACGTAGGGAAATGATTTTCGCATACCTCTGTTTATTTTTGTCACGGAAATCACTTCTTTAAGCTTCGATCAAAGAACGAAGACCGATGGCATTGCTTTTGTCACCGTGAAAATTAGAATAGGAGGGGAAATGGTAGTGTTAGGCAATATCTGGGGAGCAAGAGAACTATAGAAGTGGACAAGTGACTTGGGTTGTTGTAGGAACAAAGTAAAACCACAAACGAATTTTGAAGACATGTCAACCTATATTAACCTTGTCGTCAACACATATGGTAACACATAAGCTATTTGAGAAGGTCATTCTTCAAACGTGTTCAATAATACATGTTATGTGTAAGTTTATCCTCACATAACGGTAAACTCAATCATATACATGTCCTTATATTTGTGATGAATACTGAGAAAGATCCACTGTTCATTCACTGAAGGGTTCAGATCTGAAATTAATTTCCCGTTCATGTGGAGAATGGATCAGTCTCTTTGCCTGCATAGCCTGTTTTTTTTTTAAACCAAAGATTACAAATTGCCCACTTTTCCTCATTTGTGGAGGGCTGCGGGTAGTTAACTATCTTGGTTTTAAGATCTGAAGTACATTTGTTGAAAAAAAGATCTAGAGTACATAAGTGCAGCAACAAGAATACAAGATGCATGTCGAAAAAGACCGCAAGCGATGTGGTAATCTCGACATGGACCAACCATGTCATAAGTCATGACAGTGCATTTGCTGGTTCAAGTTTATGGAGTCACCAACTTCTTTCGCTGGTGTTAGGCCGAGCTGCCTAAAGGTCCCAGAGCCGGCCCTGAGATTTCAGGACTCTGTGCGAAAGTGAATTGGAGGCCTTAAAAAATACTAAAAATTTAATTTAATTTTTATTTTTTTTGGTCAAAATAATAATTTTAGTTTTCAATTGAGCTTCTATAAATTCTAATAGCACAAACAAATTTAACAAATCAACAAATGAAAAGATGGTATATTGTTTTTCCTTAAATATTTAGAGGGTCAGGGTTCGAATACCCATCCCCTAGGCTGATGTAAAGAAGCAATAATTCCCTTGCACTAAGACTCAAGTTTGTAATATTCTACACATACTACTCTCTCTCTCTCTCTCTCTCTCTCTCTCTCTCTCTCTCTCTCTATATATATATATATATATATATATGCAAAAATGAAAAAATGAAAAATTGGGGGCCCTTCCGATTTGGGGCCCTGTGCAGTAGCACCACTTACACCCCTCAGCGCCGGCCCTCAGGATTAAAAGATAGTTCTGCGAAAGATGGTTCCACTGAAGCCTTCTATAATATACAAATGTATGTATCTCTATTGTTCCTTTACATGTTTTCATTACCCTTTTCTTCTAAATCCCACAGTCAGTGCTTAATTTTCTGCACATTGTGTTTAAGTAAAGGCCAGGGGGTGGGATACAAATCAGTGGCGCATGTGATCGATCTGCTGATGGATGAGCTGCAACGAGAAGAGATAAACGACGAAGAGACATGAACCAAACATTACAAGAGCACCTAGCTCTAGTTGTCGTAGATTTGAGTCTTTTGATCTTAGGTGGAATTTCTGGGAGAGTAGTGTTGGAGACATGTTTATCCGAGTAGGTAGCTTGTGACTGATACTTTTGGATGAGTCCTCCTGCATTTTTCACATGCTGCAACTCAACTGAAGGATTATGTGATTGACTTGTTTGCACTCACTGAGCTGCTGGTTGGGACTTGGTAGTGTCAAGACTTTCCTTTGTTTGTTTTGGTCTCACCCTACTTCACGATAGTCCCTTCCAATGTGAGAGCTATGCTAGGATAGTCCAACCGAAATTTCTTTCCTCCATCACAGAACAGAAAACAAAAACAAAAACAGTTGATGCAAATGCTGCTCAATTTATAACATGGCGGATACGGCGGCGGAAGAACAAGATTGAGCAAGCTTTGAGTTGAAATGAAAACTTGCAAGTTCATTAAAAAGAAATATATATATATATATATATATATAGAGAGAGAGAGAGAGAGAGAGGCTTTCATATGATCAGATCACAAATGGATCGCAAAAGGTCAATTATGCCCCACTATTTTGATGCTCTAGCAGGGTAAAACAGACTTTTTCTATGTTTCCTTGTTCTTATATCTGCCTCAATGTTGTTTGTCGCATGTGAATATATTTGCCAATTGGGGTCCAAACTTTTGTTCTTTCCGACTTCTGACAGTCTGACCATCTTCTACTTCTTCTTCAACGTAATCCCTAAACCCTAAAACCTCTGCAGAACCCCCAAACCCTCCTAATCTCCATCGAACCATCTCCACCGTCCATTTTCAATCTCAAAAACCGAAGTATGCCCGTACTCCAAACCAACTGCATCTCCAATCTCCCGCCAAATCCCAACTCCGTGGTTCCACTTCCGCCTTATTCTTTGAGCTACTCCCTCAGCTCCGCCGCTTCTACATTCTTCGCCAGAGGTAAAAACCCAATCTTCAAATCCAATTCCGCTCCTTTCCTCCGTGGAAAGCCCCCGCGCTGTGCTCGTTTGGCGGTGAGAGCCGCCGGAAACGATTACTATAAGACTCTCAACGTCCCCAGAACCGCCACGCTGCAGGAGATCAAGTCCGCTTATCGAAATCTCGCTCGAAAGGTGAGCTACTTCTTATTGCTTATGTCACAATGCGTGTTATTTGCCTAGAAATTGAAGCCAAAGAAAATATTTTCACAAGTTTGAAGTTGGATAGTTCGAAACCCAATTTAGCACTGTAAGCTCAGCTGGTTTTAAGCTGCTTGATATGCTCGAAAGGGTTGCGGTTAGCGAAAGCTTTAGATTTTTCGTCCGGAAGGCGGTGATTTTGGTGTCAATTATGTTGTAATTAGGCATGATACTCATGTAGAGGAGATGATATAATATAATCCCAGTTTAAGGTGAATTGAAATTTGATGTCGGAAATGTTGTAACTTGGAGCAGTATCATCCGGACAAGGGCGGTGGAGCTGAGGACAAGTTCAAAGAGATTAGTGCTGCATATGAGGTATTACGATTTACAATTTCTAGTTGTTCTTCTTCAATGATGCTGCATTGTCATTTTTCTCTTCATTTTCGCATTTCCGTTGTTCTTTTGGTATCAGTTTTCAGTACAAGATGGGTTTTTTAATTTTTTTTCCCATTCAGTTATCGTCATTTGTTTATTTGACTGTTGTTCTATGAACCCATCATTCATATTCTAATGAAGAATCTTTGTAGGTCCTATCAGATGATGGGAAAAGGTCTTTATACGATCGCTTTGGTGAAGCAGGTTTACAGGGAGACTATGATTCCTCAACCATGGGTCCATCAGGGGTAAGATCTTCTTGGTCTTCTGAGTAATATGGACACGGGAACATGTATTGTGCTTGGTAATTTAATTTTGGATGCTTTTCTAGTGAAGGAAATAACTAGTTTAACTGCATGCTAATGGAACCATCAACGTTCAATAGGTGGATCCTTTTGACATTTTTGATACATTCTTTGGAGGTTCGGATGGGATGTTTGGAGGAAGGGGTGAATCAGGAGGCATGAACTTCAATTTCAGCAACAGGGGAAACCAGGGTCTTGACATTCGGTAACTGTCTAGCTGCACTGTTACTGTTGAATTATCTTCATGAAGGCACATAATTTATGTTTTATTGGCTTTTCTTTTAACTTCATGTTGCAGGTACGATCTGTATTTGAGCTTTGAAGAATCCATTTTTGGGGTACAGAGAGAAATCGAGGTTTCTTGTGTTGAGACATGTGATGACTGCAGTGGAACAGGTGCTAAATCTGATAAAGGCATAAAATCATGTACTGGTTGTGGAGGAAGAGGAGGGGTGATGAAAACTCAGAAAACACCATTTGGAATGATTTCGCAGGTAAACAGATCTGTTATAACATTAAAAGTCATTGAAACCGCATTAGGTCCAGTTAGGCCATCTCCAATTGAAAGGGCTAAAGGTCCAAAAGCAGGCCTAATTTGCCCAAAAACTCAACTCCAACCAATGGCTGGGCTATAATTATGTGGAGTCCACCAGGCCATTATTAGCCAAAGAGGCATCAGGCTGACCAAATATAGACCCCTTCTTAGCCCTTTTTTGGTGCCCAGCTCCTCAAATGCAATAGTTGATTCAAATTCAACATTTAGATTTAAAAACATCCAAATGTAGTTTAATCAAATTAACCAATAAATTTAAAGTATAAACTTAAAAGTAATAAATTATTAAGGGGGCTATGTTTAGCCCCTCCGGTTGGAGATGGTATATGAGTATGGCCTAATATTGGTCATTTAAAAATAATTTTTTGCAGTGCTATAATTCAAGACGGGTTTATATTTAGCCCTTTCGGTTGGAGATGGTCTTATGCATAAATTTTCTTAGCCTCGTAACATAGACACCGTAGATTTCTTTCTTCCTATCATCCTTTCAAGATTACACTATACGTCTTAGAGATATGCTTCATTGATGATGTTTTTTTATTAATAGGTATCAACCTGCTCAAAGTGTGGTGGTGATGGTAGAATAATCACTGATCCTTGCCAAAGATGCAGTGGCAAAGGACAAGTGCAGTCAAAAAGAGCTATGAGCGTAAGCATTCCAGCCGGTGTTAATGATGGAGCCACAATGCAAATTCAAGGGGAGGGGAATTTGGATAAGAAAAGGTTTATACACAGTTCCAATTTAAGCATACGTCAAATATGTTTTGCGCATATTGTATATTTGTTGATTTCTGTCCTAAGTGGTTGTTAATCCAATGGGTTTGAAAACAATCTACCTTTACGACGGATACAAATTCCAAATAAAACACCAACGTTTTCTGATCTCTACCCATGGCATGCACTTTTATGTTACACCTTTTTAGAATTTGTTTGATTATCCTTGTTCACGAGTGTTGCTGTATGTGACTTGATAATAAGGCATGCCCTGCGCTAATTTCTTTGTCATCTGCATTTGGCAGGGGTAAAGTTGGCGATGTCTACATAGTACTCCATGTAGGCGAAAAGGCTGGAATTCGCAGAGATGGTCTCAATCTGTACTCAAAAATCAATATTGATTATACCGAAGCCATTTTAGGGACCGTTATAAAGGTAATCCTAGCTTTATCTCTCAGTGAGGGTCTATGAATATCAATGTTCTATTATTTGGCATAAGTTGTATGACATGGAAATTGTGATATAACTTCAGGTTGAAACTGTTGAAGGCTTGAAAGAGCTTCAGATTCCTTCTGGAATTCAGCCTGGAGAGACAGTAAAGTTGCGACGCATGGGGGTTCCAGACATCAACAGACCTTCTTCTCGAGGAGATCATCATTTTACTGTCAATGTTCTGATCCCAAAGATAATCAGGTTGGTATCCTTAAACTATGTTATGCTCCCTTCTGTCCTATAATTTAAACTTATTAGTTGAACTTGACATCCAGCTTGATATCCCAATACCTTTCATTTTGTTCTATGGAATTTATTGTAATTTTAATGACAGTGATAAGGAACGTGCGCTTGTCGAAGAACTGGCTTCGCTTAAAGCATCTAGAGAAGGCCATTCAGCTGCTTCTAAAGGCACTGGTATAGGTTTCGGACTTTTATCATCTATCTAGTTGAAAAACCATAGTAGGATTAATTTCATGCTTATTTCAGGGATACGAGATGGGAACTTTGGCAAGCATAGAACCAATGCATCAAGCCAGGCAACTAAACGTTCTGCATCCTTGTGGAACTCGATAAAGGGCGTGTTGGGGTATGCCTCAGTCGAGTTCTTTTCTATATGTTCAGAACTCATCTTGCATACACACAAGCCTCTCTTAACCATTTGCTCATTTCGCAGGAAGAGGCAGTCGAGGGAGGGATTTGCATCAGTCAGCGTGGACGGGCCACCGTTATTGTGGGGGTCATTCCAGCCGGATCCGTTGCACATGGCATCAATTTTTACAGTTTTAGTCTTAACTTGTATTTGTACCGTCATGGGAAAAACCGATAACCTCACTTTATTACAGCAAAAGGATGGTTCTCCTCGTACTAGTAGAACAAAAAAGAACAACGTTGATAGAAATACAGAGTCCCAAGGTTGCTGACTATGATGTAGTTTTTACATATCGACATTATACAATAATCTTAGGATTTGCCCTGCAATCTCCGACCTTTCCTCTCTAGTCCAATTGAATTTCATGGCCTTGATTGTCGAGAAAATTTTTGGATATTATCTAGTCTTTACTAGAAGAGTGATTTAAGCTCAGAATACACTGAGACGACACATTAATCGACTCTAATTTTTGTGATGTACATAATAGTGGACAAGTTTTTGTGTCGGTTACACGGTGACTGGTGTACTATTATTTGTTTTCGTTTGATTCAATACATGATATTGAGATACGTAAAAATCAATCTCCTATAATTATTTAAGTAAAATGGTAACATCACGATGTGACAGTGTCCTAAATACCCTTAAAAATTAGTCAAAATAGTGGGCAGGGTGATTTTACGGGCTGATCCAGGTGGACCTCGACCCGAGCCCAAGTTCAATTGACAAAAACCCTAAAGGGCAAGCCATGTAATAGCTGACGCAAGTGCTTCTTCTAGGGTTTTACTGAGAGGCCGTTTCTGCTCTACCGCTCAGTCGTCTCCATACGAACCCGCCGTCGCCATGGTACCTCTCTCTCCCCCTCAACAATTTTAATCATATATTCACTGCTTCTGTGTGTGATTTTCCAATGTGTGTCTGTTAGTATTTAGTGGTTATGTGATGATTGCTGTTGTTCTTTGCTTTAATCTTGTGGGTTAAGCGTGGGATTTGTGTTAAGATTATACTCTGATTGTATGATGGATGCGGTATTTGAATCGTCGAAAAAAATTGGCATAAACTCGTTTTAGTTTAGCTCAGAAGAAAATGTAACAATTGAATGTGCTTCCTTACTCCTTAGGAGCTGTAGGTGGTATTCCTATGGATGACTGTTGAGTGCCCGAAATAGAACATGGGTATCCGGGATTTCACGGTGGTCCGGTACCCACTGTGGAACCGGAGCACATTGGGTTCCGCTCGTGATTGAGTACTCAATAAGTTTGAGGTTACCCATTTGCTATTTTAGCTGCCCAAGTGCCACTGTCGCCTCCATTAGTCACGCCTTAGATTATGGATGCCTCTTAGACTGCAAAGTTACGTATCTGACAATGAACTGCGCGAAGTCCGCTTCGTTGTGTTTGGGATGATTTGTTAAGTGTGTTCTGATTTTTGAATATGGTTATTAGATTGTTGTGTCTAAGTTATTCTTGCTCTGCACACGTCGTGTAAAACCGTTCTTTTGTGATTATTTTGGTGTTGGTTAGTAATTTCTTATGCTGCGTCTTGTAATTGGGTTTTGTTTTTTCAGATCGCATAATCCCTGTTGTAGTTTGTGTTTCTGTGTGATTTGTTTGATAATGGATCGTTACAAATGTGGTAATGCGTTAGGTGAACGTTCCCAAAACAAAGAAGACCTACTGCAAGAGCAAGGAGTGCAAAAAGCACACCTTGCACAAGGTTACCCAATACAAGAAAGGAAAGGATAGCCTTGCTGCTCAGGGGAAGAGGCGTTATGATCGTAAGCAGTCAGGTTATGGAGGTCAGACCAAACCAGTGTTCCACAAGAAGGTAAATCATTGAGTTCTTGCCCCCTTTTCATACGGGGAATAAATAAAGAATAAATGAAAACCAAATGTCTAGATGTTTCTACTTCCGCAGATTGATTTCTCCGTTCTTATTGTTTATTTTTTTAATAATGATCACGTTTAACTTTATGAACAGGCAAAAACTACCAAGAAGATTGTTCTGAGGCTCCAATGCCAGGGTTGCAAGCATGTGTCCCAGCACCCGATCAAGGTTAGTGTATTGTGTGTGCAATTTGCTCGTTTTTTGCGTATAACCGTTATTTTCGCTAATGGTTGGTTGTTGTCACTGATTTCTGCAGAGGTGCAAGCATTTCGAGATTGGTGGAGACAAGAAGGGGAAGGGAACCTCGCTTTTCTAAATTACTGCTTCCGACAGATTTTGTGTTACTTTTCTATCTATTTGGAGCTTTAAAGCAAATATCATGGTTTTAATTATCCTTGTTATTAGGTTTCTGTTAAACATCAGATTGTTCTTGACGATATTTTCCCTGCTTTAAATTGATGTTAGAGTTTCTGTTTGAAATTGATGTGGCATTTCGATCTTTTCTTTCATTTCGTTATCATGGGGTTAGCAGTTGATGGCTATATAAATCCTAGTTCTTTGCTGTAACTTTCAGATTTCAGATCAATTAAGCTTTTGAATTTTAGTCAATCTGGTGGATTCCAGAGATTGTGTTTTGGTGTGTTTTCGGTTTAAGAAGCTCGTCTAAGGCTTTTCTGATTATTCCGCTGCGTTAGTCGATGTTGCTGTATATCAACTAATCGGGTAATGCTAGGGAGATTAAATTTTGTAAATCAAATAATATGGTTGTTAATGATTGGATTATTACTAAACTGTTGATTAACATGCTTATTTGCTATTAGCAATATCATTTGATTTGCAAATTTAATTTAAAAATTTGATCTTTCCAGCATTATCCTAACTAATCACTAGCATGGTGTGACGAGGGCTCCTGTATAGCTATCTCCTCCCCTTCCCTGAAACCCGACCATCAAAACAGTGTACGAAACCAACCCCACCCCCCCCCCCACCCCTCCTTTTTTTCAATTCACCTTTTGCTCCCCGTTGCAAAACCAGATTTGGGTTCTGACCGCGCCGCCCTGCTAGCGCTGTGCTCTGCTGTCGGCGGCAAACCGTGCTCTGGAAGGTCAGCCAGTCCAGCCTATGGAGAGAATTTTCAGTGTGTTCGGAACATGGGTGCATACGTCATGTGTTATTATACAAGTTGAGATACGCTTGGAAAAAACACTTCCCTGATAATAACATATGGCTAACTCCTTCGAGTTCGGACACATTGAAAAACCTCTCCAGTTCATATTCGTGAACTGGCGTTGAATGCCAGAAAAATTAAATTCCCCAACAACGAAAAATAATAGTCGGTGGACCCGAATCTTTTCGGCTCCAACACACCACTTTATTCATACAAAGGTTTATGTTTTTCTGATCACAATGGTAGGGCTTCCTTTTGGATATAACGTGCAGGCTAATGTGACTGTTTATGCTAATGATAAAACAACTAAACAAGGTCTTTGAATTTAAATTCTTTTTGCGTTCGAACTAAATTGGCCCACTTAGTAAAGCAAATGCAGACGAATCAGATCTGTGCTTTGCAAGGGCAGAGCAATGTGTAGTGTGTATCAGATAAAGGCATAATTTGCTGTATACCAACTAATCACCAGCATGCTGTGACCTTGCTCTGTACTATAAAAATGAGAAAAACATGTGTAGGGTCACTTAAACCATGTCATTCATAGTGCAACTCTTGTATTTGATACCACCTGATCTACATTTACTGTAATAAGGTCACTCAAATCACTGTCATTTGTAGTGTACTTCTTATAAACTTTGGATCATTCAGACTCTTAGTTCAATCTTAGGTGGGAGAGTTGCCCTAGTTTAGTAGAGATTATCAAAGTTTTCAAACAACCGTGCAAAACGTTGACTGGAGCGGAAATATAGAATCAAATATATGCTATGAAAAACAACTTAAACGATAAGAGACTTTTAACTCAAGTGATTAACCATGTATACTCATACACCCAAAGTAGTGTATTCGGTTTTCTTCTTCTAATGTCCCTAGTAACCCAAAAAGGCAAAGAATTCATGGGAAGTGGAGAGGACAGCCTTGAATATCATAAGCCAAAAAAAGCTAGCTACAAAAGTAAAGATGGTATCATTTTCCTCGGTATCTCTCTCCCCTCCTTTTCTCCTCTCTTTTTTCTTTTTGTTTTTCTTTTTTTTATAAAAAAAGTTAATACAAAATGTATACGCAGCTCAATTATGAACGTACAAATAAAAAAGACTGAAGGGGAGGGAAAACGGAGGAGGAGAGAACCGGATGGTCTCATGATTTCTCGGTTAATTCCAACTATAATTTGAGAGGTTACCTTTTCTCGTGAATAAACTTGAGCTGTCTTTTTCTCAGCCTTCCTCCCAAAATTCACACTTTCTTGAAAAAATGTATAATTAATCTAACTAACCTAATTAAATCTGACTAAACTAATTATTCGTAACTGACTAATTAAGCAAACCATATGCATGAAAAGAGATATTTGTTTGTTGAGTATTGAAATGCAAGTAAACTCCCATAAAATGGAGCTTTATTTTCTTACAAAGTAATTAACCCTCCTGGTGACTATGGAGATGCTAGCAGTGTTCTCATTTAGACTTTCTAATTGTATATTCTCATTTTTCTCTATAATTCTTTAACGTTGTTTGATGATTAAAACTGTCTATCATCTAGGTCACCCCTTAAAAATCAATCCTATTAAGAAAAAAAAATACATCAATCGTTTAACCATTTGATTAGTGTTTGTCTAAATTTACTACTATTTAACTAAAAATATGGTCCTGTTTATTATTGGATAATAATTTGATGGCTTAACTAATGATCAGTAGAAGAAATGTACACGTACAGCGCTACGTGATAGAAATATGCAAATATCGATCAGTATTATGGCCTCCCAATCAGATATCAGATGGGAGATAGCAGATAGGAATTTAAGCTGATCAAATGACAATGCAGATCTCTTTCTTTCTTTCTGCATGTGTTGGTGTTTTTGTGTTTGTGTGTGTGGGTGAGAGAGAGAGAGAGAGAGAGAGAGAGAGAGAGAGAGGCCGACACAGGGAAAGCATGCAACATGAATTATGGCTTTCCAAGTGAAGTGAGGTTCCTTCTGTAAACAAACAGCTGCGTAATTTCTGTGTCATTATTCTTAGCTGTGAGGAACTTGGCTGTGTTGGCCCTCCTTTTATAATATACATTCCAATATTCGATATTTACGTGCCTTCAAGAAAGTGCATGGACGTCTTCCTCCCTGTATAAATATACAAGAAGCTTTCCAAGGCGTATCTCGTTTTACTGCTATATAGATAGGAATATCAACAATATATCAAACACTATGTACCACCAATATATCGATACATTATATCAACATGATATTGACTTGGTATTAAGAATATGAATATCATATCAACATGTAGTTGGCCGGCTATTTTCTATTGATTAACATCTAGTCGTTGCCTAATACTTGGTGGATAATTGGCTCTCTGAGTTTCTTGTGTGTCAATACATACACAGTTCATGGATAAAATAGTGATGAGAAGTTAAAGTGCATGCATCCCTCTCCCACCGCACCTTCCATAAAAAGTGTTTGTTAGATAGATGGTCCTACTCTCCTACTCGAATACGATTTCAACAGCTCTGCCTGACGATCCAATATAAAAATGTACGTAGTTTTTCTATAATAATAATGATAATAATTAAAACACCCACCAATTGTTATTTGTTATTGATTATTAATCATTTTTTTTCCTAAAAACTGAGTTAGTTAGTGACTTCATCATGGCCGTCAGCATTTTGGTGACCGAAAAGACTCGATGAGATATTTCAACATCTTCTAACTACTATCATATGTTTCACCAACACCATGAATCAAAGTTATTGATTTATTAATCGATATTCTTATTGTCTTCATATTCTTTAATTAACTATATTCGAAAATTCGATTCATAAAGCCAGTATCCAGTCCAACTAAGAATATCTCATACAATATGGGGTGGCCGCAGATGCTCTTATATATAAATAACAATCTTTTATGAGGAAGAAGATTATAACAAGTTTCCTACCAAGTAATAATCTAGCGCAAAGTCACTGGATGTTAAACCAGTATTAAGGAGAGGTGGGAAAATGTTTTTGCATTGTCAGTTAGGTTAATCATTCGTTTCTTTATTTTTATATCAAATGATTATCAACAAACAGGTTTTAACAGTACGCTTTTATATCAATTATTAGCGGCAAACTCTATCCCAAATGACATTAAGGTGCGGAAAAGATAGCTATAGATTTTGATTACTGTTACGGAAAATAATACAAAATTTAATTGACCATTACGACAACTACACAAGATATCATTTGGAATATGTGTGGATCCATATATAATTCAAAATATATTACGGTCTTAATCAAAATTTCATCATTTCAACACCAAATTAAATAATTGAGTTGGTAGATATACGGTCTTAGTCAAAATTTAATTATTTCACCACCAAATTAATAAAATTAGTGTTTTGTTAACATATATATCTTCGAACGTGGACCTGAGTATATATATATGTATTATAAATCGTCCCATCACCCCAGCGGTATGATTCGTCGGTGGCTCTTGTGGCAATCATGTCAATGCATCCGACGGCTCACAGTGACCAAAACCAGTTCATACGTATTAGAATTAATCTTTTTTTTTTCTTTTCTTTTTTGGGGAAAATAGGATTAATCTGTTTTACATCACCAGCAAGAGTTCATTAAGAAATAGCACCTCTAATTGAATTTCTAACAGCATGTAGCACAATACAAACACAAGGCCGACTCCAGCCAATCAACTAGGCAAATTCTTTTTCTTTTGTCAGATATTTATTTACTTGCAGAAATTTTTCAGTGAGAGGACAAAAAGCCATGTAATGAGATTATTAATTCGCATGTTATAATCCTTGTTTTAAAAACCTTCGTCCAGCGCTGCTTAGGTTTTGTCTAGGCATTAAATGGTTGGCTACTCTCCAGATTAATTTATGGCCGTTTGAAAATTAAGAAGGAGCTTCTAAATCTGCATAGGCCCCCACCTAACCCTGCCTAGGCACCCATCTAGATCGCGACTCTTACTTAGATAGGAAAAAAAAAAAAAAAAAGATAACTTTCATTTTGGGGTAATGCTAGGAAGACTAAATTTGCAAACTAAATGATTTGTCACCAATAAAAATAAACACGTTTATCAACGCTTAAGCAATAAACCAATCAACTTTTATGTTCTTTAGTTTCCAAAATTTAGTCTAGAAATTGAGACTCTTTAGCATTACCCTTCATTTTGCAGACGATGTTGAATACTTGGATAAACACTTATTATATGCTTTGTTTTCCGTGTTTTCAATATGTTCTAATACTTTATATTCTATATATCACTCTATTTTGCAATTTATATATCATAATACAATGATGTATTTTTTTTTTACATATAAATAAACATTTATTTATATGTAATTTATTTATATGTAATATAATAAATTTAATTAAAAACTAAAACAATCGCCTAGCCGCTAGGCCCCTAATCATGAAATTTAAATTCATCAAGCGATGATACATAAGATGGTAAACTTTACCATCACTTGAGAGTGGTGAGCAAAAATATTCTCATTGTAGTCTTTCAAATAATATTTTGTACTTTAATTTTGTTTTCAGCTAAATAAATAATATCTTGATTATATAATCAAGTTGGTGTATTATTTTATCTTTTGCTTACAATATCCGACAACCCAACGGGAATTACCCCCAAGAAATATAAATGAACACCCGAAACACACAGATTTAGAAATATTTAAACTTTAGGGAAAATAAAATATGCCTAGCTATTAGATTATAAGTTAAGCAAGCAGTGCCAAATCGTCAACCTCTTTAGAAATAGACATCTTGTTTTGTCATCAACTTTAAGTTTTGGCTTTTGGAAAAAGCAAGTTGATTATCTTAAATATCGACAAATATATTGTTGATGATTGAACAAGTTAAATGACAAAAATTCAGTTTTTCTCTGTTGAAAATTGGGATGAAAGTTTATGTTATTTCACTGCTCTAATAATAGTATCCAATGTAGTTTTGAGTTTTTTTTTTTTTTTTTTTCGATTTGCCACATGCAGTCTTCATTTGTGTCTCACTTTATCTGATATATTTTACCACAAGCATTCTTCCTTCATATCTCACGGTAACCTATTCCATCAACTATGCTAGTTGTGTGGCATATGACATGTCATGTTAGTAGAACCCATGAATAAAGAGAGGTAGGTTAATTTCAAACTAGATTTTGATTTCTCCCGATTAAGAGAAGAAAAAAAGAAGGTTGAACTTCAAAGTTTGTGAGTCAATTTCAAAGTTTTTGGATCATTTTGTAAAGATTTGACCCACCAACTTAGTTGAAAAAACTAAATTGTTCATACCACGCTAGCACAATTAATGACTCTGCTAACTTATTTGATGAAATAAAATAAAGTGGGACATTAAGAATGAATATATGTGTTACAGTGAAACAATATAGAAAGTAAAAAGTAAATTGAGATACGGATAAAAAGTGCAAATGGTAAAGTGAGATTTGATGAAAAATATGGTTGTCATAACTACTAAAAAAAGAAAAAAGTACACCATTTGGTATTACTTCAATGTTTAACAATTGGAAAGTCCTCTAAAACACCTATTTTATAAAATAATTAACTCAGTACTAAAATGAATACACATAGTTAATGTATACGCGAGTTACATTTGGTTTTTGTGTTGAACGTACAAGTGGAGCGGAGTGGTTCAATGCCACCCCGATCAACAGCTTGTGCCAAATTGTTTATGGAATTTGTAATTATGTATGTGACTATGTCCAATGAATAATTAGGCAGTTGTACAATATAATATACGGGGTATTAAACAGTGATCTTTGGGTTATGACTTCAATGCTACGTATCATTTATCGCTACAAGTATTTTAACCGTTAGGCCTAACTTCCACAATTATTTAAATATTTTATTTTCAACCTCAGTCATTTATTTTCGCATCTAAACCCCGGATAATCATATATAACTCATTATTGCATTTGAATTTTACTTCGGTCTATGAGGCTTCAAAATCAAATTTGTCATTGCCACTTTCTCAATTAATTCATTGATGAACAAAAACGTTTACAAAGAAAAATTGTTAAAAGAATTGATAAAAATCAACATCCACCATACACTTGTAAAAAAAATCCAAATACACATAAGCCAATTTCTTAAATAAATTAAATAACAAAATATCAGAAAACAAACAAACCCATCTAAAATGTAATTTATAGGGAGAGAAAATAAAGAAAAATATTAAAAAATAAGAAATTTTAACAAAAAGTTATCCGTATTGTTTACTTTAACGAAAATTCACATTTTTATACTAAAAAGTCAATCTTAATACTATTTATTTTATTATTTTTGTTAAATCTTAAAATCTTCAAATTATTTTTATTAATTTTCTTTTAAAAACATCTAGTAAAAATAAAAGAAAAAGAAGAAGAAAAGCAAAAGACCAGAAAAAGCAAAGGGAAAAAGAGTAAATGACAGTTGACTACACCACCCATCAGGTCACCACTTCTCCTTCACTATCCTAACTATCACTGCATACAGCTAGGGTTTTGCTCTCTCTCCTTTCTTCCCTATTTTAGTATTTACCTCACAGCCTGTAGCCTGTACTCCCTCTCTCTCTCTTCTTTCTCTCTCCTAGGGAAACCAGAAGGCCAACAAAAAGGGCCAAAAAGAAACGAGGAAATGCAGCTCCCAAAACACACTTTCTCCTCTCTCTCTCTCCTCCTCTGAAACCCAAAAACCAGAACAATGTATGATCTTTGAAAACCCCAGAAATCCACACCCCCACCCAATTCACCAAAAACGCCATCTGGGGTTCCACCAAAATGCATTCCCAAACCCAATGGCTTTGCCTTTTCCTCTTCTCCCTGCTGCTTTTGCTCCCCATTGCAAAACCAGATCTGGCTTCTGACCGCGCCGCTCTACTGGCCCTGCGCTCCGCCGTCGGCGGCCGAACTCTGCTTTGGAATGTGAACCAGACCAGCCCATGTTCGTGGGCTGGCGTCAACTGTGAGGACAACCGTGTCACGGGGATTCGTCTTCCCGGCGTGGCTCTATCCGGCGTAATCCCGAGTGGCATTTTTGGAAATCTGACTAGTCTCCGCACTCTCAGTCTCCGTCTCAACGCTTTAAGGGGTCCTCTGCCGTCAGATCTCTCCGCCTGTGTTACTCTTCGTAACCTTTACTTGCAGGGGAACCTTTTCTCTGGCGAAATCCCGGAGTTTTTGTACAGTCTACACGACTTGGTCCGGCTGAACTTGGCGTCCAACAATTTTTCCGGCGAGATCTCACTGGGTTTCAACAATCTCACCCGCCTGAGGACTTTGTATCTTGAAAGCAACAAGCTTTCTGGAGCGATTCCTGAGCTGAAGCTTCCTAATCTCGACCAGTTTAATGTATCCAACAATTTGCTAAACGGGTCTGTTCCGAAGCAGTTGCAGTCTTACTCTTCAAGCTCGTTTCTGGGTAATTCGCTATGCGGGCTTCCGCTTGATGCTTGCCCTGGAGACGGCGGAGGAGATATAAACATGAATGACAACCACAAAGGGAGAAAGCTTTCAGGTGGTGCTATTGCCGGTATTGTGATCGGATCCGTGCTGTCTTTTTTCGTGATTGTCATGCTTTTGATCTTTTTCTGCCGAAAGAAGAAGAGCAAGAAGACGAGCTCCGTCGACATCGCCACCGTGAAGCACCCGGAAGTCGAGATTCCCGGCCGGAAGCTGCCCGCGGAGGCTGAAAATGTGGGATACGGAAATGGGTCTTCGGTGGCGGCTGCTGCGGCGGCGGCGATGGTGGGGAATGGGAAAAGTGAAGCCAATAGCGCGGTTGGTGCTAAAAAGCTGGTGTTTTTTGGCAATGGGGCGAGGGTGTTTGATCTGGAGGACTTGTTGAGAGCTTCGGCGGAGGTTTTGGGGAAGGGGACTTTCGGGACCGCGTACAAGGCGGTTCTGGAGGCTGGGACTGTGGTGGCCGTGAAGAGGCTGAGGGATGTGACAATTTCGGAGAGCGAGTTTAAAGAAAAGATTGAAGCTGTGGGAGTGAAGGATCATGAAAATTTGGTGCCTCTGAGGGCCTACTATTTCAGCAGAGATGAGAAGCTTCTTGTCTATGATTACATGCCTATGGGAAGCTTATCTGCACTTTTGCACGGTCAGTGTTTCTTCCTATTTGATTGCTTGCTTTATAGGTTGATACACACACACACGTATATATCTTTGTATATGTTGCTCTGCCATTTCAGTTATATTGTTGTTTCTTTATTTCTTTGCTGGAATTTTGATGATGATGGATATGATCTCTTCTGATGCATCATTAGTTTCTCCGAATCTGGATAAGATTAGAAATGTTAATGTGCTCTTTGAGTTGTCTCTGAGGATTTGTTATGCATAATTTTGCATCTCCACAGACTCCATGTTACTCATTTTTGTGCTTGTTTCCTCTCGTACGGTTGAAATCTATTAGTGATATATATATTCTTTGTAATTTCAGTTTTGTTAGTACTTTGTTTTGCATGATCCAAGTTATGCTATCAGCGTAGTCTTCGTATATGCAAATTAATCAGGAATTGCTGTTATTCCAAAACCATTATATAGATTTTTGGTTCAAATTCCCATCTTGCGTTCTATCTTGACACTACAGGAAACAAAGGAGCAGGCAGGACCCCATTGAATTGGGAAATCAGGTCCAGAATTGCCCTTGGAGCTGCCCGTGGAATTGAATACCTACACTCTCAAGGCCAAACTGTCTCGCATGGAAACATCAAGTCATCCAACATCCTGCTAACAAAGTCCTATGAAGCTCGGGTTTCTGACTTCGGCCTAGCACACCTTGTTGGTCCCTCATCCACTCCCAACCGAGTTTCTGGCTACCGGGCACCAGAGGTTACTGATCCTCGCAAGGTATCCCAAAAGGCCGATGTTTATAGCTTTGGGGTATTGCTCTTGGAGCTACTTACTGGGAAGCCCCCAACTCAAGCGCTCTTGAATGAGGAAGGAGTTGACCTCCCAAGGTGGGTTCAGTCCATAGTCAAAGAGGAGTGGACTTCAGAGGTTTTCGATGTTGAGCTCCTCAGGTACCAGAATGTCGAGGAGGAGATGGTTCAGCTCTTGCAACTTGCAATAGATTGTTCGGCTCAGTATCCTGACAAACGCCCTTCAATCTCCGAAGTGACAAGGCGCATTGAGGAGCTACGTCATTCTAGCTTGCGAGATGAGCAGCCCACGGTTGTCCGTGGTTTAGACGATGTGTCCTCTCGATGAGTTGAGTTGCTCAGGGCCGGCCCTTCGGCCATCTTCCCTCATGGATTTGCAGGGCAATTCCTTGCTTTGTTGTGTTAAATCTGGTGGTTTTGTTGTATGTTAAAAATCCAAGTCTTCCTCTCACTTTCCTTAGGAGCCAAATTATAATTTTTTTTTTTTTTTTTTCACCCAATTGTTCCCCATTGCACTAGTTTTTTTTTACTGCCCTTTTAGGTACACTTTTGGGGTGGATATCAGTTCCATTTGTTGTTGGTGGATGATGGTTTTATGTAATTATTACTTCACCTTTTGCCTTTGTCTTTTATTTGTTATCATTTATTACAACTATTTTAGCTACTTGAAATTAAGATGTTTTGGTTGCTTCATGTGTTGGTTGTCATGTCTTTTCATACTTTGGTGAAAGATTTATGAAATTAAGCAAACCTTTGTTAGTTATTGTTTCGCTCTCCATATTTCTCTTTCTCGTCACGTGGTCTAGTTACAAAAATCGCTGCACGTATGGGATGACACAACAATTTTGAATACAGGAAAGGCGGAAAGTAACACGATGCTTTGTGATGAAGACGAGGATGAAGAAAACTTTGTAATTTTGGATTCGGGAAAGACGGAAAGTAACATGATGCTTTTGTGATGGAGATGAGGATGAAGAAAACCTTGTAACAGTGTGTGATTAATCTGAAATATCATTACAATGACGTTTTAGTCGGGGTTTTGTGGTGATGATGAAGCTTGGTGGTGGACCAAACTAATGCGTGAAGTGGAGGAAGTGTGAAAAGAGAGGAGACAAGAGAGTGATGCGGTGGCCCTTGGTTGTGGTTAGATTTTGTTGGCATCCAAGGCCCTCTTTTCATTAAAAAGTGGTGCATAACAATTAACAAGCCTTCAATATATGAGAGTAAACAAAATTTTGGTTTTTCCAAAACATGGGATATTTTTGTCCTGGGCTTGTGCTGTCCTGTCCTGAAGCTTTTTTGGGTGTACTATGAATAATCTATACAGTTAAAACCTTTCGCTCTAATCCCAATTTTGACCAATTAATAACCTTTTTTTGGGATATTCCATATGATCTTTCCACGTATCAATTATTCATTACATACAAAAAAAAAAAAAGAAGTTATTTTTATTATAATTTGTATAATTCTTTTAATATAAATGAGATTCACATGTGTAAGTAAATCGTAATTTTGTTAGAACAATAACACAAATAGGTGATAAGTGTAACATTACTTCTACTTACATGCACTGATAATTTGAAACTAAATGTCTTTCATCGTCTACATCATGAAAATCGGCTTTTTCATAAATATGCAACATTATGTAAAAAAAATAACCACGCTTCTATTATGTCCTAGGTCAAAGAATAAATTTTTTTAATACACATCTGAAAAATCGAGGTGCTCCACTATTCTTTCAAAATTCATAAAAACGTACGACTCAATGGACGAAAAGCCCTCAAATTGGATTAGAACTTTTCCATAGAATAATGCTACACACACTCTTTTTTACAGTTCATACACTGTTATAAGTTGTCTTTTATTTCTCTTTAATTTATTTAGTCTGACAGCCAAAAAAATAAGAGGTGCATTAAAAGTACAAAATAATTTGTAAATAACACTACTCTTTCCTTAATGCTCATGCATTTTTCACCAAACGCTTGAATCGTTTGCAATGGATATTCTCCACATAAAAGTCAAAATTATTGTAATATATGTGGATGGTCCACATAAATAATTCGTTACTATTTATCCACAGAAAAATCAAATGGATTATTATTCATATGAGGAAATTACCATTCAACCAGGCTAGAGAGAAGAGAATAATGAAAGTTATTTTGTACTCATATTTTTTCAGATAATGAAAGAAAATACTATTGCTGCCCCAAGAACGTAGGCATACTTGCCGAACCTTGTAAATATTGTATCTTATTTACTTTATTCCACTGCACACCACTGCACACATACAACGCTCCGCATCTGTCGAAAAATTGAATAAAACAAGATACAGTGCGATTTGGAAGAGAGAGGATGTGTTTTCACATTGCCATGGGGAAGGAAAACCAAGAGACTAGTGACAAAAATCCTCAAGCTCAACCAGCACAGGGTATACTAATTAGGATACATCAAAGTCCTTAAGATACAAAAGACTACTCGGACCGTAAAATTGACGCCCCTGCGGCGGATAAGTTACCTATAAGAGCAAGGAGCACATACCGAACCAGTTTCGGCTTTTTGAGTTTTCTGAATTCTCCCATCTCTCCAGGTGCAAATTCATCACTCAAATTGCTCTCAACTGCTCACTGTAAACGAAAGAAAAAATGATCGATGATCATATGTACAAACAACGACGAGGTGATTAGGCCCCAAAAACAAGCCCAAATCATTTCGGTGGCAAAACCCTAATCCTGGGTTTTGAGACAACCAGGAGCAACCTGCTATGCGCTGGGATTCAATGACGGATCGTCCTTAAAACCCTTTGAAAGCAGATCATAGTTGATTGATGCAAGCTGGGAGAGATTCTGAACCATGATCATAAGAAAATAAAGTAAGATATGTCACGAAAAGGTGAAAAAAATGAACTAAATAATTAACAAAAATAGATCCATGCAAAGCAGTGGGAAAGCAACATCAGCATAAGATGACGGATGACAAGAGGAAACCAAAAATACATGGCATCCAAGACACTATTCATGAAGAACTCATGACTAATTACAGTATGAGCATCTTGAGTGGTCATTTTAGAGATGATAAAAGAAACGACAGCCTTGTAAGTTAAGAAATACCTTAAATGAGAAATTACTGAAAGAGTAATTGATAGAAGAGCCAGACTCGAACTCTGTCAGACCCCCACATTCATCACCCTGTCAATGAACGTCGCCCCAAGATCATGTCAGTGCTGCAAATTATATTGAAATACGGGCAATATAAAATATATTCTCATCAGTAGTTAAAAGCACTCGTTTCTTGAACTAATGTACCACTTCCTCATGACGGTTGCTCAAGCAACTGCTGCTGCCACTTAAGCTGTCAGAATCACTGGAATCATCCATGTCACTGGGTGGATATACATGTTGATCTGAAGGATTCCATGAGTAACGACTGGTGAAGTAACTGGTATCTAGAGCACTCTCTGAAGTGGGAACAAACGCAGCCTGCAAGAAATGAGAAGTCATAAGGGAGTGGTGCTAACCAACCCGAAGATGAAAAATCTGTGTCTTCATTTTTATGATTTATGAATATGCTGTATCACACACCTTTTGCCTGGCAAGCGTGTCCCAGTTGATATCTTTAAAGAATGGATGCTGCTTCACCTTTATCACAGATTGCAATTTTGTTAGTTTATCGAAGAAGTTTGAAAGATCATGCACTAAAATATAATGAATAAGAAGCAAATCTAACTAACAAATACCTCTGATGCACCTCTAGCTCCAAGTCTTTGATTAGGATCTTCTGTCAATAACCTGGAAACTAGTTGTATCAGCATTAACTAAACAAACATCACAACTACATGCTGTCACTAGACATCACATGTAAATATGCATGAATATGCATTTGCATGTTTGAACATAATGGACCTTTAAACTGGAACACAAATTCGAACAAGATCTAAGATCACTTTTCAATCCCACGCATTCAAAGAACAAATTAACAAATTAGATAAAAATTGTTATTCCATGTTTAGGCCTCCTTGCAAAATAAGAAGAGAGTTCCTGCAGACTGAAACCATGAGTAACGGGTTCATAACTTGCAGTAGAATTAAAGAAGTTCAAGAATGTTTACACAAGTATCTTAAAACTAGACCAAAACAGAGCGCCAATGCCCTTGATCTCAACACAAACTGACTAATGGTCAACTTCAATGAAGATGCTAACTTCAACAGAAACAAATATTTCCTCCTTAGCAAAGCAGTAACAAAACATATCTTTGAAAGCAATAAAATCGCATAAAAATCTTGGATGCTTCACTTACTGATCAATAAGATCCTGTGCTTCAGGACTCATCTCGCCAACCCCAGGCCAAGGAATATTACGGTTGAGAATATTATCAAATATAGTCTACAAGCAAAAGAAGAAAATGGTTAAAAAGAACAAACTGTGAAATCACAAACAATTTTTGTTGTAAACACCAAGCCTATGTATTATAACATATTTTAGATGCAATGTATTAACCTGAGGATGCTCAGCATTGAAAGGTGGAATTCCAACAATCAATTCAAATAAAATGACACCAACAGACCACCAATCTGCAGTTGCACCTGTGGACCATAGAACAGCAGCAAGTTGTTAACCTTACAACGGTTTAACCAATAAACAGAACAGAAAGCCGTTCGGCAAAAACACAAGAGCATAATGGCCACGCCCTTAAATACTTAAATAGTGATCAACCAAATAAGTGAACAGCATGTTTGGGGAAAAGCAGGGAAAACAAGAGCATTATGGTTGGGTGCCCTTAAGCTTCCATGAAAGACTAAAGAGTACCAATGAATAATGATTTAAACATTTTAGCCCATAGTTGAACATCGGGCTAATTAGTATTTCTTTCTTGATGTTGAAGCTTAATCTAAGGCTGAAAAGTTTAGAACAAGATAAAGGCAATAATAGCACCTTAAACTTAGAAAAGGCTATACGAACCATGTCCTGTTCCCAAAAGTATCTCTGGTGCCAAATAGTCAGGTGTACCGACTGCAGAACGTTTCTTTCGGCTTTCTCGCTGATGCTCAGAGAGAGATAATTCGGGTTCATCTTCCCCAAGAAGGGATGTGCTACTAACTGCTGGACCAGATAAATCATCAGTGCTGTTGATGAGACCAACCTTCGAAAGCCCAAAGTCTGTCAACTGCTCAGATGGAATACAAAAGGTTAAATTTGGGTGGACAAAGAAGTGAAAGCCATCTATAACCCCCATTCAACTGCTACACAAATATGAAAATTATTTCCAACCCACTAGGCACAAACTACTGAAATTATTTATTTAAGAAAGAAATAGATTGAGAGCAATCTTCGGATGTGCCTATGTGAGTGCTAGTGCTCTATTTTATGATGTGAAATAATTGAAATTTATACAAAACGTTTCATTTATCTTGAACAAAATATGCATCCAACTAAAGCTAAACCATGTAACTATCACGAGCTCTAGTAGAGATAGATTTTCAAATTTCACTATCCTGCTTCAACTGAAAAACTCAATGATATTAAAGGCACTATTATATTGACATTGAAACGCAACAAAACTAATAAGATAAATCTGTATGTACATGCCTTAACATGGCCGTCATGAGCAATTAACAAATTGT